AGTTGGGGGCAAATAGGGGAGGGAGGGTGGGGGGTGGGAAGCTGGGGAGAGATAGCAAGGGGAGAGATGCCAGATGTAGGTGATGGGGAGGAAGGCATCAAATCACACTGCCATGTGTGTTCCTATGCAACAATTTTGCATGTTCTTCACATGTACCCCAAAACCTAAAATGCAATAAAATAAATGGGAAAAAAAAATAAATAAAAATAATAATTATTAGAAGTAGTTTAAAAATAATAATACTAATAATTATTCATTGTAAACAAGATATAACAGTACATATTGTTAATAATAATATAATCATGAATAATATAATTATAATAAAATATAACTACATACAACTATTAATCACAATATTTATTAATATATTGTTATTAATATACCAATAATAGCATATTCATATCATATAAATAATATAGTATGCCAAATATATTAATATATATTGTTAATATATTAATGTATTCACATGTATCAATAATAAATTAATATCTTAATATTATAAGTATATTGACTATTAAAATGTACTGAGGAACTATTTTACTATTTTTGTATAAATATTAATGATACATTATTACTTTTTTTATTTTTACACAATAATTTAATTTACATAAAGTTCAAATCCTGGTGAACAACAAAAATACATTATTTAGGTAAATATACATGGGTGGCAAAACTATAAAAAAAAAAGCAAGGTAAAAGTTTAACACAAAATTCAAGCTAGTGGTTACTTCTTCAATTGGGATGGGGGTAGATTTGATCTGAAAGGCTTCTAGGACACTGATCATGTTCTATTTTCTAACCCAAGGCGTAGTTACACAAAAGTTAATTGCATTATTATTTTGAAGATTGTTCTTATTTGTTTTATAAACTCTAGTTATGTGTGATATCATTCACAATGTTATCAACAGATGATTCTTTCTAAGAAGAATCTTTATTGGATAAAAATTAAAGTCATCGATGGTATTTTAAATGGCTAAAAGCAACGTTTTCTCGTTGTATTACTCTTAAACCTTTCACCAAGGTTGTTTTTTTTTTTTAATGTGGCAAAATTTTACTTCTTTCAACTTAGAATAGAAGCTGCATCAAAAGTTTCGTCTACACATGGAGATAGTTCAATTACATAATTTCAGCATGAAATCTTGTTCACCATTTGAACTTTCATTATTTTTTATTTTTTTTCCCATTTATTTATTTTATTGCATTTTAGGTTTGGGGTACATGTGAAGAACATGCAAGATCGTTGCATAGGTACACATGTGGCAGTGTGATTTGCTGCCTTCCTCCCCATCACCTACATCTGGCATCTCTCCCCTTGCTATCTCTCCCCAGCTCCCCACCCCCTACCGTCCCTCCCTATTTTCCCCCAACTGACCCCAGTGTGTAGTGCTCCCCTCCCTGTGTCCATGTGTTCTCATAGTTCAACACCCGCCTATGAGTGAGAGCATGTGGTGTTTGATCTTCTGCTCTTGTGTCAGTTTGCTGAGAATGATGGTTTCCAGGTTCATGCATGGACACAAACTCATTGTTTTTGATGGCTGCATAATATTCCATGGTGTATATGTGCCACATTTTCCCTGTCAAGTCTATCATCTATGGGTATTTGGGTTGGTTCCAGGTCTTTGCTATTGTAAATAGTGCTGCAATGAATATTAATGATACATTATTAATAAACTGAATAATGTTAATATCAATTAATATTGATGACCAAAGACCCACCAACATGTGTCATGTTCACATCAAAGCTGTGATGAAGGCAGCCCAGGTCATCATAGAAAAGTACTACATGTGCCTGGGCAACGACTTTCACACAAACAAGTGTGTGTGAGGAGATCGCCATTATCCTCAGCAAGAAGCTCCACAGCAAAAGAGCAGGCAATGTCACACATCTGGCGAAGCAGATTCAGAGAGATATAGTGAGAGGTATCTCCATCAAGCTGCAGGAGTAGGAGAAAGAAAGGAGAGACAATTATCTTCCTAATTGTCTCAGCCCTGGATCAGGAGATCACTGAAGTAGATCCTGACACTAAGGAAATGTTGAAGCTTTTGGACATTGGCAGCCTGTCCAACCTGCAGGACACTCAGCTTACGGTAGGGATGAATTTCAAAACACCTTGTGAAGCTGTTTGAATCTTTCTGCAATGCTGTAAAATACAATACTCACTGGACTTTATTTTCAATGTAACTGGGACAACAGCAATAAATAAATATTGTTAATGACACATTATTAATAAGCTAAATGATGTTAATGTTAATTATCAATATCTTTAATAGCATAATTGAGAATATATCATATTAATATATTAACATAAATATACAATATGACTATATTAATGACATCAATATTAGTAACATGATAAGATAGCAATATTATATTAATATAATTTATTAATATATAAATATATTTACATGGTATTAATATGCTAGTTTCTATATTAATATATTTACATAATATTAAAAGGCTATTCTTTCTATATTAATATTTATATTAATATTCTTAGGCCTCTTTTGTATTTGTTGCACCCTAAGTCTGTTCATTTTCTTCTCTTCAGCTGACATTTGGAGCACAGCAGTCGATGATGCTCACACAGACACTGCCTGAGCCTCACGTCCCTGGAGAAAGGCAGATTTCCTTATTTTCCAGGTCAAGTCCTGCCAGCCATAGAAAGGACTTCTTTGGTGCCAACTGCTGTGAAATGCCTGTCTTGGAAATCTCGGTGCTCCCCTGTACCTGTTTGAGCCCAGGGCGGAGCCATACTGTGGCACTGCTGCATCTGGTATGGCTGCCCAAGGATGCCCCAGGCCTGGGTTTGAAAGAGAGATGAGACACTAGTGTCTCATGAGTAGACCCTGGATCAGACACAAATCTCCATTCTCAGTGCTTAGTGACTCATTAATGCCCCAACACAACAAGATATTGGGTCTATGTGGATATGCCTGGGGCATCCTCTACAACAGGAGATGTATTGGGGGAAGGAGAACAGATCACAAATTCATGGGGAGTTATTTGCAGAGCAGATATTCTCGTCCACTCTGATATATAGTTAATGTTCAGCTGTTTCTAAAAAGGAAACCCAACAATGGGTGTTCTATTCCAATTTAGGAAAATGTAGAGGCAAGGGGCCTGAGGCCCAAGGACACCACTAGTTGGACCACACCCCTGTCTGTGGTGTTGTGGCCTACCCAGTCCCAGCACCCCATGGCCTGGGGGAAAAGTTTACTGGTTCAGCCAGAGAGATGGATGGACAGCATTTGCTGAATCACAGATATCTCTCTCATGCAGTCTTTGTCTCCACAGTGGTGACCAGGAGGCACAGAACCCAGATCTGCTATCCTAGCTCTGTGGAGTCTTCCTTCAAAATGAGACTAATAAAATCACACATATGCTAATGAGCATGGCAGTGGGGCAGCAGGCCATGCCCTTGAAGATCATTGCCCCCACAGCTGTGCTGGTCTCCCTCTGTGAGGTCTTACTGAATGGCACTGTCTTCTGGCTGCTTTGCTGTGGGCCCACGAATCCCTACACAGTGTACAGCCTCCACCTGGCTGCTGCTGGTGTGATCTATCTTTGCTGCTCAGCTGTGAGGTTCTTACAAAAGATTCTGCTAACTTATCATGGAGCTGTATTTTTTTTTCCTTTTTCAAAATTTATTGTATTGCATTTTAGGTTTGGGGTACATGTGAAGAACATGCAAGATGGTTGCATAGGTACACATGTGGCAGTGTGATTTGCTGCCTTCCTCCCCATCACCTACATCTGGCATCACTCCCCTTGCTATCCCTCCCCAGCTCCCCATCCCCTACCGTCACTCCCCTATTTTCCCCCAACT